CTTAGCTTTGTGATCATTCTACGTTGGTTGCTGAGGTAAGCCTACTTAGCTTTGTGATCATTCTACTTAGCTTTGTGATCATTCTACTTTGGTTGCTGAGGTAAGCCTACTTAGCTTTGTGATCATACTACTCTGGTTGCTGAGGTAAGCCTACTTAGCTTTGTGATCATTCTACTTTGGTTGCTGAGGTAAGCCTACTTAGCTTTGTGATCATTCTACTCTGGTTGCTGAGGTAAGTCTACTTAGCTTTGTGATCATTCTACTCTGGTTGCTGAGGTAAGTCTACTTAGCTTTGTGATCATTCTACTTAGCTTTGTGATCAAACCACATGTGCTAAGCTGTATGTCTTATAGATAACACTTTCTAATCCAATATTGCAGGAACTGAAAAAGCTGAAAGACCAAGTAGCTCCGCTCCGAATAAAATTAGACACCTATCATAAACTTCCTGCAGACCCTTCACTGGCTGAGGTCAAAGTTGAGGAAGCCAAAAGAGAATTGGTACGTTTAATTCTTGCATATACATATTTTGAATATATCAGTCAAGTGCATAGGAAGACGCTATGCCCCAAATCACTTTACACACATCACTTCCCCAAGTTAAGTTTCAAGTGCAGAACAAATCCAGGTGTGCAACTTTGAATCCTAGAGCACAATTCAGTTCTAATTTGATTAATTTTATGTTTGTTCTTTATTCTAGGATGACTTGGAAAAGGAAATTGGTTCACACATAAATCAGATGGAACTCTAATTTGTTTGATACTTTGTTTTGCAATGTACAATTTTCAAATAGTAATTTGATTTGTCAGAACAAGTTCTGTATATTGAAGAAAAACATGGAACAATAATGAATATCCCATGGATTGATCAATTGCTCTAAGGGTCAATAGTCACAGAAAGCAATGAATGTTTCATCAATTGACCAATGACTGAGTGTGATAGAGAAAGTTCTTGATCATCAAAGAAGTTTCACTCATTGGTCAGCTGTCAGAACCTAGTGATTTTATTTTAATCCAATATGATCGGAAGAATACCTCTTTATACCATGGGCATTGAAAAACATTTTTAGCTTAATGTAAATTTCAAACAGTAGTTAACAGTAGTAGTAGTAGTTAGTCAGGATCCACTCGACTCATGCCAAAATTTTGCCCTAATTCATTGATCTGTTATTTGACCCAGAGACTATATGCATATGTATGTGTCTGATGCTATTTGCTGTTATGGTATTTATTATTGTGCACATGGAAGGATTCAAAGAACAGTTATTTTTCACTTTGATGTAGGATTGTAAAAACTGGGTACAGCAGCACAAATATGCATCACTGACAACATTCTACATTCATTTTGTTCATTACTTCATCATCTGGCCATATTTTTCTTGACAAGCTGGCGAAACCATTTATGAATCAGTAAATTTTTTTGTAAATTCACTGCTGAGGGCGTAATGTCAGTTCGTGTCAAGCGTTCAGACAGCAAATTTTGCCACATGCCAATTTAGGGTTGTAACTCTTAATTGAGTTTTTTTTTTTCGACTCTGCGTTGACTCTGTTCTAATCGGCCACACATACTTTTCCCCACATGCCTAAAGCCTGGATTGAGTCAACATGTTACTGATCTGTAACATGAACACCACTAACGATGAACAATTGTTTGGTTTGAAATAGTAAATAAAGACAATCTGTTTGATTCTGATTTGCAAATATTATGGGGGGAAAAAGTGTTGCTTAATAATACAACAGTTCTTTTGGATGTTCACTCCACTCACTCGCATTTGTTATCCAAATACTCAACCAAATAGTAAATCTTTTAAACAGAACTGACAAAAAAAACAGTCAGAATGAATCTAAATTTTGTAGGACTATGCAATAGTATACGTTATTAAAGTCGATCATAACACTGCTAACTTTATTAAATATATGTTACATAATCACGATCAAGAAATATTTCTGGTGCAGTATTTTTACCTGTTTGTGTACAAAGCGTTTTTATGTATACTTGGTTATGATCTTTTCTGAACATTTTTTTTTTGGATTAGTCTTATTAAACAGTATTGAAAGTTACTGTACTTGTTTTTTGAATGGTAGTTGAAGTTCACCATTCAACTTGAAATAAATGTATCTGAATAATATTTATAATACATCAACTGTTCTGTATAACTCAATCATATTATTCGGGGGTGCAATCAGAACATACACGCACATACAATGTATAAATGAAATTCAGTAACTAGTCATTATGTGCATAACTTTAATTTATCCAATGCAAATATGAGCACAATGTTTTTCTCATTTTACATAAATTCAATAAACGCAATGTTCTTTTCTTTGCCTTATCAAACAAGTTATTTGCAACAATTTGCTACAGCCCATACACCCTTTTCATTTCCTCCATTAAATGCCACACAATTGTCATCCTCTGAAATGAGATAAATAAGTGAAAGTAAACATACACCCATGCGTCTTGTACACTACAGGGCTAATCTGCACTGGCTCGGAAGGTTGTAAATGATTAGCTAGTTTGAATTTCTAATTTGCATAACATTACTGAGAATGAACGTGCATTCAACGCCACAAGTCTTTTGTTTTTTTTAGCCAATCAGAATTCATCTTCCGAGCCAGTGCAGATCAGCAGACACTACAAAACGTCATTTCCTGCTGAGACTATGGTATTATCATTACTTGTACGCTCTCGTGCATTTAGTAAAACTTAAATCACAATCTAACAATATTGCGGATATTTTTCCCAGAGTATTCAACTAGGTGTATATTATAATCTAATACTTACCATCAATATAGGCCCCGTCGATAACCAGCCATGGGCTACGAGCGTTGCATCCAGTCATAGTAAATCCCTCCTGACATTTTACTTTAGTGGTGTCGCCCACGTCGCCACCAGACTTGACACTGGCTATGCGTTTGCATTCAAGACCAGGTGCGGAACAGCACGCAGCAAATGCAATTACGCCTATTAGTAAAAATGAAACAAATATCTTTTATTAGTAACACATGTGTAAATGTTGTATTTATTATTTTCGTTAGAAGAATTGTTTCATGAAATTGACCGTAGTATTCTATATGCAAGTGTTTAAAAACGAGGATGTGCAGTACGCTGTGGAATTTCATCATGCATTGTAATATAAGATAAGATAACTTTATGGACATGTATGTCCATCTTCATTATCATTTGCAAATGTAAGTAACAAGTACAGCATTTGTTTTTAAAAGTTTAAGTCCAATGTTTAAGTTATTATTAAAATACAGAATTAAAGTTACAAAAAAAAAATGATGCACGCTGGACGGATAATAGACTAGATTCACTTTGACACCATAGATGAGTGTGCAAAATATCTATATATTAGCATCACGAAGATTGGCAGGTATTATGATAGAATGAGTCGATTTGACACAAACCTTGAGCAGCAATATAATAATGCGAGCACAATTATTCGGTGTAGCAATATACTTGCCTTTACTTCCACCTTCATTATATCCTTGGCACATGTCAGGCATTACGGGTTTCACTCCAGAAAGGTGCTTCCATGCTGATTTGACAGAACAACCTAGAATGAATTTAGATACCATGGAATCGTACAAATCATGGCCTTGTGGTTTCTAAGAAAATTTACCTAATTCATGCATTCACATGTTTTGACTTAATGTTTTAGTTTTATATCCATCACAGAAGTGAAAACCAAGCATACATAGTGAAATTAAAAAAAAAAATAGTACATTTTAAGGTATACTGGTTTGCCGGAAAATCATATCGTCACAAAGTCATTGATATAAATATGCAAAACTCACAAAGCGAATAATATAATAGCTACGATCCAAAATTGATCTCAATTTTAACCGCTTTTTAAACCTAGACCTTACAAATAATTTACAATAAAACAACCAGGTTCATTACGATGAATAATTATATAATGCACATTTAATTCAATACCTTGCTTGATTTACCATTTAAGAGTTGTTTAGATATCCTGTCATTTAAATACGGGTAGGAATATTATATTCATACCTGTTACCATGGCTTCCATACAATTGATCTTGTGTGGGCATACTGCAAAACTGCCGTCATCTTCAGCAGATGTGGACGTGTTACCTTTGACGTATTCACATTTCATGTTAGGCCAATTGCAGCATCGAGCATATGCATATACTCCTTCAATTTAAAATAATCAAATTATTATGAAATATACTGATAAGAGGAATTAGTTTATTCTCCGTAAATACAAATGTTCTGTTAATTCGTCGTGGAAAATCTACATTAGTTAAAATTCCTAGAGTAGGGCATAGACGTATCGTCATTATACTATGATGGTTTTAGTGTATAGTTCAACGAGTGTGTAATCAGGCTGCTGGTTACATCAAGAGATAATGACGTGAGTGTATGCCTTGTTCAATATATGGGTTTACATATTCCTACTTAACTGAACTCATTTACATTAAAACTCAATGTAAACTTGGGTTTGAATGATTAGAGTAATTCATAGCAATATATAGATAAATATATATATGTTCTATAAACATATTACCGCACTTAGTATTAGAAAAGAGAGAATATAATGTTATATATCAAGACATGTATAGTATCTGGTGTATATACACGAAGATGCACGCAGGGTTCTCCCCAGCAGACAGAGAGTGCTGGACGGTATGAATATTCATGACTCATTAATATGCATGAACTAATTAATATTCAAAATGGCCACATACTGACGAGAAGACAGGTCGTATGTAATGATATATATTATACAGTATGGAAGATTACAACACAACACAGGATAAATAATATACAAGCAAATCATCTTTGAAGACATGATGCATAACAAATTGAAGGCACAAAATGTAACGCGTATACATATTAAACTTGGTTGCCAGTTTGGTCAATTCACAAAATCAAATGTATTTATTACATCGCCAGCTGTTATTTTTTTCACCAAATGCAGATACTTTAATTACTTGCAAGTATATCATTGTTGACAATAATCAGAATAACATATGTATTATGTTTGCCAGATATAAAATAAAATAGAATATAATTAAGATCGTGCTTAAAGTACCTGTTCCATAACCGCCATTTATTGCTACACATACAGTGTTACCATTGTCATCTTCCCCAAAATATTCACCATCTCGTTTCCCATGTCCACTTCCTGGTGAGTAGCTACTACAACCTGTCATAACTTCCCCGACTGGACATTTTGCAGTGATGGTTGCATCATCTTCTGTGTCAGATATCCGTTCAGATTTCACGGTATGACATCCTAAGCCACACACGTCTACTAAGTAAAAGTACAGCGGACAATGACAACTCAGTAGAAATTACATACTATTGAAATGCAGTTGCGAGGTAAGAATCATTTTGTCACAACCCAGATCAGTCAATTATAATAACAATTTATATTGACAACTTTCATAAATATGAATGAAATATGCTTACCGTCTGCAGTAACAAAAAGCTGAAAAACAAGGAAACGCAAGCTTTAAAGTGAGGGAGTCGTCACCTACGCATGCGTCAGGTGGCCATAGCGTGTCATTGTTTACAAACAAGCATCTATCCATGAGCCTTTGTGTTCTTAGCATGTGTTAAACTGTTATCATCGCTTGGGACTCAATTCCTGCGCATGCACAAGTGACGACCCTCTCGCTTTAATTCATATGTGTAGGAAACTTGCGGTGTTATCTACTTACATACTGTTCGACTATCTTTGTTAATACACACTGTGTGATTATATACAACTAACTGAATCTCATTTAATCATTCGTATAGACAAGAAAGCATCACGCCAAAGTGAATGGTCATTACAATTCACTTACATATTCCATGACATGCTATTAATGAGTTCATCGGTTAAAGCGGGGGAGTCGCCACCTGCCATGCGTCAGATGGCCATGATAGTAGACTTGCTAAGGGGGTAAACGCTGCATTTTTTAGTACAAATGTCCTAGTTTGGCACACATTTTCCTTGGAGCAAATGAAAATTGTTCATCCAAAGAGACCCTCTGTATCTATGCAAATAAGGCCTAATTTGCATAATTATGCAAATTATTAAGAACAATTTCTAAATATTATTAAAAAATATTTATTCATGTCAAACAAATGTCTAGCTTGATATAAAATGTCTATGGACCAAGCAGAAAAATAGCATGCAAAATAAATCTTGTATTTATGCAAATAACCAGCTAATTTGCATAAATTCTGTCAATTAGTACATGAAAATTATTAATTTTCGAGGTTTTTATGCACTGCATTTTGTGGTACAAACTTTCTACTTGGCACACATGTTCTTTGGATCAAAAGGAAAAAATTCATCAAAAGAGACACACTGTCTCTATGTAAACAATACCTAATTAGCATATTATGCATATTAGAACCTCAAAACACAAAAAATGGTCTTACTTTGAATGATGTCCAATTAGGCAGTA